ATCATCAGTTGAGGGACATTTAGGTTGCTTCCACTTCTTGGCTATAGTGAGTAATGCTGCAGTGAACATAGGGGTCCATAAGCCTCTTTGGATTGTTGATTTCAGGTTTGTTGGATAGATTCCCAGTAATGGGATAGCTGGATCATAGGGTATTTCTATTTTTAATTCTTTGAGGACTCTCCATACCATTTTCCATAGAGGCTGCACCAGTTTTCATTCCTACCAGCTGTGTATGAGGGTTCCTGTTTCTTGTGTGGACAAGTTTTTAACTCATTTAGGTAAATACTAAGGAGTGCAATTGCTGGGTCATATTAAAATTTGTCGTTTTAATTTTTGGTGAAATGGATGGTGGTGATGATTGTACAACATTGTGAATGTACTTAATGCCACTGAATTGTACACTTAAAAAAATTAAAAGGGTAAATATCATATATATAAATATTTTACTACAATAAAAGTAAATTTTAAAAAATTACAAACAGGTGCCTAAAAAGAAAAACTTAATTTGAAAGTTCAGATAGGACCTAAGTATACCAAACTGCCAGAGTGAGAAAACTGCTAGTCTAAAATGTCTCAGAATCTTTAATTAGCCTGCAAAACCTATTTCAATACAGAAGTTTCTTTTGTGCAACTGGGTGCTCAATTCTTGTTAAAATTGTTTTTAATTCCAGATACTTTAGGCATGGTTATCAAATTACATACTGAAAAAAGTAGGGGGAAAATTTTTAGCTCAATTTAGGATATATCTCAGAAGCTGTTCTTTTTTAACTTAATAAATTAAACCCAAACTTGCTAAGAAGGAGTAACGACACTTTAGCTGTTTTGCAGAGAAATGTCAAAGAGAAATTTGAATCTTAAACAGCATTGGAGTAAAAACTCATAGGAGCTCTCTGGCAAATGAATCCGAATTTCTTCATTCAGGCAATAATTCTAGGATGTTGTTGTTACTACATTAAAATTTCCAGAATTATCCCAGTTACTTCCAGGAAGTAGCAATCCATTAGAGCCTCTGCCTCAGCAAATATTGCCAGTAGCTTAGAGAATTTCATTTAAAAGACACTAATTTCTCAGCATTGTTAATAGGCTTCTTCCAGGTTTACCAATCCCCAGACAAAATTTATTTTATAAATATGACTTTAAATAACTAGGCACACACATAATTTAGCTAATTATGCATTGTTTCTTTATTTTAACGTGCGGTTTTTTTCTTCTTTTAGTTGTAAAATTGTGGAATCCTCACATTATAGAGGCAACATGGTAGAGTAACAAAATTGTCCAGACAATTGGAATCTAGTCCTGCCTTTGCCATTATATGACCTAAGAAAATAATCTCTCTCTGATTCAGGTTCCTCATTTATAAAATGGAATATTAGATAATCTTCCTGATGTTACTGTCATTAGTATAATATTAAACATAATCTATGTAGAAAATCTGAAAATTTATAAACTATAAGTGCAAATGTAAGGTAATATAGTCAAGAAATCCTAAGCATTTTATTATAATTTGTCTATATTTTAACCATAAGTCATATAAAGTTGTGTGTCTCATGATACATGAATAATAGAGGAAAAGAGCTACTTTTCTTCAAAGTAAGAATCTTTACATATAAAATTGCCTGATTTTGTTTTTTAATATCTAAAAACATTCAGTTAATTTAGAACATTGTTTTTGATGTCTGTTCTTTTCTTTCAGGTCTAAAGTGGTTTGCCAAGATCTGATTCATATATAAGATTTTGTAACATCTTTTTGATGCTAAAAGTATCAATTACTCTTGTATATCACCTAGTCATCTTTCTTTTTTCCTGCCATTATGAAAAAACACTTACTAGCTACTATTTTTTGTGTGTGTGTGCGGTAAATTATACATAACATGAATTCACCTTTTTTAACCATTTGTAAGTGTATAAGTCAGTGGCATTAAGTACGTTTACAGTGTTGTGCGACCATCACCACTATCCATTTCCAGAACTTTTTGTCATCCCAAGCTGAAATTCTGTACCCATTAAACACTAACTCCCCATTCCCCCTCCCTCCAGCTCCTGGTACTTACTGTCTCTATGAATTTGACTAATGTAATCTAGGTACCTCAGTAAGTGGAATCATACAATATTTGTCCTTTAGTGTCTGGCTCATTTAACTTAGCATAATGTTTCAAGGCTCATCCATGTTGTAGCATATGTCAGAATTTCATTCCTTTTTAAGGCTAAATAATATTCCATTGTACTGTATTTACCACATTTTGTTTATTCATCCGTCAGTGGACTGGCTACTGCTGTTGATGGAGCATTATGAGTTTTTAGGTAGCATAAATCAGTTACTTGTGATGGGATCAAAAGTATAAACATTATTTTAAAAACATCAATCCTATAAGGGAGCACCTGAATATGCTCATAAATAACCAGTGAACTGTAGTCTCTACCAGTGAAAGCTTTCTCTTGCTTTGCTGTTAAACTTAGCATTAAGCCTTAAGACATTAAGCCTTAAAGTAACTCTGAAATATCTCAATGCCAATGACTTTCTTCTTTTTTCTGTTACAGATCCAGATTTTACTTACCTAGGAGGTATTTTAAATCCCATCCCAGGTTTAGTATATTACCTCTTTTTCCTCATAACATTCTTATCAGTCTTATTTTCCTTTGAACATCATTCATCTGTTCTTTCTAGATTGCCAGTTTGAGCTCTCAGGAGCTGATGGAATAGTGCGTTCTAGTCAGGTAGAACAAGAAGGAAAAACGAAACCTGGGCAAGCAGTTGATTGCATATGGACAATTAAAGCTACTCCGAAAGCTAAGGTATTATTATTTATTGAGTCATTTCAGAGAAGAACATAATGAGACTTGATTTGTATAATATGTTATTTTGGTTCATGCAGATACTTATTGGTTATATAAACGGATATTACAACTTTTTAAAAATTAACTTTATTTCACTAACATTATTGGGCACCTCCTAAGATATCAACATTTTTATAGTTAAACTACAATATAAATTTCAGAAATATCACACATTAAGATTCTTATTTTACGAATTTTAAGATTCTTGAAATCTGTGTATTCCTAATTAGAGAGTGCAGGTATTGATCACTATGATCATAGATTCATAAAAAACTTTATGAGAAGGAAAAATAGGCAACAAGATGTTAAAGTGTCTTGTCAAAGGTCTCAGAGTTGGTCATAGCAGTGTCAAAACCAAAACACAAATGTATGAAATCTTAGTTCTGTATTCTTACCTGCTGTCTTCTGCTAATTATGTAGAGCTTTTACTGCAATAAGTATCACAGGGAAGAATGTTTTTAAATAACTCTGACAGATTGAGACTGGTTGCTAACTGTTTTTGCTTTTAATTTACACTTCTAGGGATATTAACAGAGTTAAAATTATATTTAATATGTATATACATGAAAAGAGAAAAGGGAGTGAGGGTAAGAGAACGAACCTTTAAAGAATTATGAAAATCAAATTTAGAGTTAGGATAATATGGTGGATTAGATTACCTGAAAATCTACCTTTTACAAAACACCTGGAAACACTGGATAAAATATAATGGGTATCCTTTTAAAAACATAACTCCAAAAAAAGAAGGTAATTCTGGGGCCAGCCTGGTGGTATAGTGGTTAAGTTTGTGCACTCCGCTTTGGCGGCCTGGGGTTTGCAAGTTTGGATCCCGGGTGTGGACCTAGGCACCGCTTATCAAGCTATGCTGTGGCGGGTGTCCCACATATAAAGTAGAGGAAGATGGGCGCGGATGTTAGCTCAGGGCTAATCTTCGTCACAAAAAAAAAAGAAAAAGAAGGTCATTCTTATGGACTAGAAATAAAGAGAGAGAACTATAAACCAGAGCAATAAACTGAAAGCTGAGATTGATAGTACAAATGCCCCTTGCTGATTTTAGTACCCAGGCGTAGCCATGCCAGGAGCTTGGTGTTAATACCCACGCTGAGACAGAAAAAGGCGGCCTGTGGTTCTCGTGACCTTTGTGAGATCCCTCACACAGAGCTGGAACCCTCAAAGGGAGATGATTGCCATAAATAGTAGATTAGGAAAAATCTTCCACTGGCACAGGTTAATAACAAAGGAGCTTAGCTTTCTGGGCTCAGTCTCGGGATAGCAGTGAGGCTGGGATTTCCCCTAAAACTTTATATACATAGAAACCTGTATTTGTTAGAGTTTGGGATGTGAATTTACATTCCCTGCTAAATCCAGGAACCACTTAGCCCAAAAATTAACAAAATGGTCCTGGCCTGATAAAGCCTTTTGTGGCAACTAGCAAAAGTAAATACAAAATAACTATGGAGGCTACGGGATTACCATAGATAAAACACTGCTGAGGTAAACTCACAACCCAAAGTTAGAAAACACGTAAGCGAACAACCCACACTGTGAGTGAGTTAGACATAACAGACAGTGAGAAGTTTCTTAGAATTTAAGTGTTTTAAAGATCAAGGAAGAAATCAAGGATGAGAAAGTAAAATGACCAGTTACACTTTAAAAGTAACCAAATAAGACTTCTGCAAGTAAAAAGTATAGTTATTGAAAGATCTGGGAAAATTACCCAGAATGTAGCTTGAGGGTAGGGGGAGTGGCAGTTTATTAAAATTTTCAAGAACTGACAAAAAGAGTTGATACACAGTGACTCCCAAAGCAAGAAACAAAAACATTTTGACGCCCAATTGCACTAGGCACCACAGACAATGAGAGAATCTTTAAAACAAGTAGAGAGAGGGGGGCTGGCTCCATGGCGTAGCAGTTAAGGGTGCGCTCTCCACTGCTGGCAGCCTGGGTTCGGATCCTGGGTGTGCACCAATGCACCGCTTGTTAGGCCATGCTGTGGTGGCATCCCACATAAAGTGGAGGAAGATGGGCACAGGTGTTAGTCCAGGGCCAGTCTTCCTCAGAAAAAAGAGGAGGATTGGCATGGAGGTTAGCTCAGGGCTGACCTTCCTCACAAAAAAAACCATAATAAGTAGAAAAGAGAGATTGCCTACAAGGAATAACATCAGAATCATCAGTATCAAACTAGAAGCAGGAGACAATAGAATAATATCTTCAAAACACTGAGGAAAAATAAATGGCAATCTAAAATTGTATATCCAACTGAACTATCATTCAAGAATGAAAGCAAAATTAAGGTATTTCTGGGCAAAAATAATAAATGGATCAAACACTACAGTTAAAATCCAAATATATCCTGGGGCCGGCCTGGTGGGGCAGCGGCTAAGTGCGCACACTCTGCTTCAGCAGCCTAGGGTTCGCAGGTTCGGATCCCAGGCGCACACCAATGCACCGCTTGTCAAGCCGTGCTGTGGCAGCACCCCATATAAAAAACGTAGAGGAAGATGGGCACAGATGTTAGCCCAGGGCCAACCTTCCTCACTAAGAAAGAGGAGGATTGGTATCAGATGTTAGCTCAGGTCTGATCTTCCTCATCAAAAAAAAAACAAATATATCCTGTTTTAAGATAGCTACAGGAAATTTTGAAAACACAAAAACCGGAAAGAAATACCAGACAAATACCAAAAGAGAGCTGATATAGCTATTAAAATAGAAATCAAGAAATAAATAAAACTAATTCACAAGGAAGATATAATTTTAAATTTTATGTATTAATATAGCCTCAAAATGTACAAAACATGAACTGACAATTGCTGAGGAAAACTAACAAATCCACAATTATAGAGGGTAATTTTTTTCAGCTCTCAGTAATATATCAAGCATAGAAAAATTTAGTAAGGTTCAGAAGATTTAAACAACACAGTATCCCTAATGGGACATAGTATCTTATTCCCAAGATACAGAGAATACACATTCTCTATAAGCATGTATAAGTGAAACATTTAAAAACTGATCTGTATGCTAGGCTAAAAAAAGAAGTCTGAAAAATACCAGTGCTTGGTATCATGCAGAGCATCCTCTAACAAAAAATACAATTAAATTAGGAACCAGCAACCAAAAGATAACTTTACAACTCCACATGTTTGGAAATTTAATAATATACCACTTAGTAATTCATAGGTCACAGAAGAAATCAGGTTGGAAATTTGAACACATTTGAAACTCAATAATAATGAAAATGCTGCCTTCCAAAACTTGTGGGATGCAGCAAAAAGTACTTTGAGGGAATTTATAAGCATAAATAGTTCCTTTACGAAAAGAAAAACATTTAAATTTAATGAGCTAAGATTCAACTCAAGAAGTTACAACGACCAAAAAAATCCAAAGGAAGTATAACAATAAAAAAGCAGAAATAAATGAAATTAAAAACAAAGTTACAAAAGGAAAGAATCAACAAAACCAAAAGTTAGCCCTTTGTAAAAAATAATGATAGGCATACCTCTGGCAAGATTGATCTGGAAAAAAAGAAATAATATTAGAAATGGAAGAGGTCATACGTAAATCAACTAGAGCAGAGATTGAAAACTATTGTGAGACAAACTCTGAAGAAGACCTGCTGAACAAAAGAAAAAGAAACCTCGAGTGTTTCTTCTATAAACAAATGACAACAGGAAAACAGCAGGGGAACCTACAGATTCAAAGAAATGTAAAAGTCAAGTAAACTTCTGGATTCAAACACTACAAAAGGAGGGGAACATTAGGAGACAATTAAAAGTCTGAACACCAAGTAGTATTTGATATTAAGAAATTATTCAGAGAAGTCAAGATGGCGACGTAAGCAAACTCTGAACTCACCTCCTCCCGTGGACAAAGCCAATTTACAACGACTCGTGGAAAAATTACCCCTGAGACAGAACTGAAAACTGGATAAGAGGAACTCCTACAACAAATGACAATCCTAATTGAGGTGGAAGAGGCAGAAATTCCCTTCTGGAGAGAAAAAAAATGCCCCTTTCACAAGCCGCAGCGCTTCATGGACGCCCAGGAGCAGCCCAAAGGTATGCAGTCCTCCCTGGAGGAGCAGGGCCCTGAGCC